AGAACTGGCATCACCGATAGCCGATTTTGGATCATCGTTGAAATCTTTACCTTCTGATGATTTCCCAGTTGCTGCTTTCGGATCGTCCACGCAGTCTTCTGTTGTTTCCACATCTCTGATTGAATACGTTAGTCGCGAATGCTTCGAACGCTCTTTGAAGCGTATTTTCTGTTTCTTTTTGTTTTCTGTCTCATTGGTTTGCTTCGTTGGTTTTTGCATGCCGAAATTTTCAAGGCTGCTTCTCTGCATTTTCCAACGTCTTTTTGTTTTCCTGTCACTTTTTTGGATTTCGTCACATTTTTTCTGGGCTTTGTTAACATTCGTTTTTTGTGTTTTTCATCGTGTCTGCTCATCTTGTTTGTGCTTTTTGACATTTGTCTATTTTTCTCGGCTTTCACGTACTTGCTCATGGTTAAGTTTCCTGATTTATGTTTTCCGCGTCTGTCGGTTTTTTGCATTTCACCATGCTTTCGTTTCATTTCATGTGATTCCTCGCTCCCTTGTTTTTTTTCGAATCGCCTTGAGCTCCATCGCTTTTGCGAACATTCTTTGTTATATCGGTTTTGTTTCTGTTTTGTCCACCCTTTCTATTTGTACTGTTTAGACTCTAGAGTCCTTTTCTTTTCACTCGGTAGCATTTTTCATAATGTTCGAATTTGATTTTACATTGCACGCTTTTTCGCTTTAACTTTCACTCGGTACTGAGCTAATCCATCTCCGTTTGTCACTTTTTCCTTTTATAGGTTACCATTGAATCTGCTAGTCTTGAAAAAACGGCAGGTAAGTGTTGCATACCTGCATTTCTCCTTATTAAGCGAATAAGTCGTTATTTTTATGTACACACTTTTACCAACGCCTCATTTCTTTGTGCGATTCTTTTTTGGCTGCTTTAATGACATAATGATAACTTGCCTCATTTAGTTTTCTTCATTCAGCAGTTTCTATGATTCATGTGTCCTCTTCACCGTATGCTGTTTAATGTAATATATACCATTATTTTTAGAGCTTTTGCATGTTCACGTCATTTAGCACGTCTGAATGAATGATTCCTGGTGCACTCTGGTATTTTATTATAATGCACTCCTACCCAAAAGCAAAATAGATAAATAAAAAAATGCATGCAGTGTGAAATTCCACGCTGGTTTCTCCCAATATATTTACGAACATACAAACATTATCAGCTTACATTCTATCGCTTGTTTTGTTTTAAACTAAAGTGCACTAGCACTTTCTATTTAACTGTGAATTTCAACGTGTATTCAAGCGTTTCCTACCAAAAGCATGTCACCTGCTGCCGGAGATTCCACGAGCACGTCGCCTTCACCATTGAAAACCGTTGCGCCCTCAACTACCTCAGAAATACGGACCAACGTTGACTGAGATTCTGTCTTTCACACTTTCTCTCGCTCGAATAATTCTTTTAGCTGTTCAACCGGAGCTGGAAGTCACAGATGCGGTCGAAACAAAGGCAGAAGCTTTTCCAGTGGCGGAACGCGGAGCAGAGTTTGCTCCGCAGTTTGTTCAACCTCTGCCCGAACGTCTCGAAGTACATGAGGGCGAGGCTGCACTTTTGGAATGTCGCGTTGAAGCCAAACCGAAAGCTGATGTGCACTGGCTGTATGATGACAGACCGTTGGATGTGACGTCACAGGAGTCAGCCATGGTCTACGAATCCACCATCACTGACGAAGGGCAGATCTCTCTGCTTATTCTGGAATCACTTCACGAGGATGAGGGATTGTATCGGTGTGAGGCAGTTAATGAGCTAGGGACTGCCCATACACAGACGCAGCTGGTTGTCATTGACGGTCAGTCAACTGTCGGACTAACGATATTCTTGGGAATACTTCTTTTATACAGTGTATTTATTTGCATACAAGATGCCCTGTCAGAAAAAAAATATTTGTCATTGTGCATCTGATTAGATTCATCCTATCTTATAACTAAATTTTCTTTTTGGTGTATTTGCACCAACCGCATGTCTAGTTAGTGTTATCAACTGCTTTTATTGCCAGATGCTTTTTGTTGACGTATTGGTGGTGTTTTAGGTTGAATTCGCTGGACTGCTAATTCGTCTCAAAGCATGACTATTACTCTATGCGTGTGTCCGTGTTTATTTGTGAATGCATGATACTTCAAGCGAATTGTCATACGTTTGGTGATTACAAAGTAGTAGGAATGAGCAACAAGTTGGTATAAATTTGAATGACCATTATCATAGATAATCTCCCAGCTTTCCGTTTTTCTTAGGTGCAGGTAGATTCATCTAACTATGTGGTCAACTCCTTGCATGGTGTACCAGTTGATAAACGCGCAGACAATTGGTGTCGATACTCACGACATCTTTAGGGTTACTGTATGACAGGCTCAGCGCTATTAAACGGTCGATGCTAAGTTTGTCGTGTTTCATGGTTATAAACAGCTTATTTTGAGTTAGGAGGAAGTAGGAGTTTGATTAACCAGTCAAAGTTTCGTTGTGCAAACCCGTGGTTTGTTTCAGTTCTGCAAATAGTCGAATTGGTTGCCTTGCCGGAACTCGAGTTTACCCCGTCGATTTTGGTGTTCGAACTTATTGGTGCTGATATTGATCAATTTTGCTCAAACGACCGTGAAAATATAAGTAAATTTGTATGAAATCTTGGGATGTTTGTGATTATTAACTCGATTAGAACCTCAATCTGCGGTTTTCTTTTTCCATGAAATTTTATCTTCTGATAAAGACAGAGGCAACTAACCCTTGCTCGTGCCAAAATGTATCTGCCTTGAAACATTTTGTGCGGTTTGTTCCCGAAAAACACCTAAGCTGAACAATATTCTGCCAGACTCCATGTATATGAGTACTATATGCTATAGAGCCGCTTATCGGTGCGGTCATCAGCCAGAATCAGTGATTCTTCAACGCTTGGGCGTTCGGCTTCCTGTCCAACTCGTCATACCTTCGGCACACCCAGCCCCACATTTAGGCTTGTAAACATCACATAAGCCACATAATCTACGGATGCAGCTGGCTTTCACGGATTGAAATGAAACAGGAGAGAAGCTGCGTTTTCTCAAATCGCAAACCCTTTCCAGCATGTATGCGAATGTCAGTTTGCCATGGCAATTATGTGATCCGAACCTTTTACGTGCCACTTCGTCGTGCGTGAACTGTTCTCCACGCTTGCTATCTGCGCAGATGCAATATCCATATTGCACTCACTGATCGCCCAGTGAATAAACCTAAATTTCTGCTAATCTCACCTCTTGCGCATAATACCCACACCTAGTGTAGTACAATGCAAACGACCCGATCAGCACATTGTGTTGAATTCGATCCAAGCGTTTTGATTCCAGCGTCCTGACCAAATGGCGGTTACCGCACTGACGCGGTAGCTCGCATTAGTGAGTGCAAATTTAAGGGAATAATAGTAGGAGCACAGCGTCTGGTAAGGACCAAACTATTGTATCTACAACCCACAAAAAGCGCACAATAAGCAGTTCTCTGTGTAGACTGTAGAGGAAAAAATGTTATCATAAGAAAGATACCTCGTTTGTGAAGGACCTTTCACATCTGGGTATCACCGCTCATTCATGGCTGAAAACAGCATGAAATCATGCCTAGTGTTACTGGCATTGATTTTTTTCTTTTCTTAGCAGACAACCATGGCAACAATTGTATTTTTATTGAAAAAATCTTGGTTCCTTCTTTTAATGTGGTTGTAGATTTTTTTGATCAATTTGATTGTTAATACTGTTTTTGATAGATCCAGTCACATTGGACTTATACTTGGGAATACTTACGATTTTCTCCTTCAAAATACCACATTTTCGCCCCAAAAGCTATTTTCATCTCGTCCTGGGGTTTCTCGGTTGTTTTTCTTCTCTAGTCGGCAGCATCATTAATTTGGAAGTGCATTGCAATCTACTAATTGGTTTCATCATATACAGAAAAATAAATGTTTTTTTCTTCCTTGCATCATGACATGTAAGTAATCCCGTCGAAACCAACCCTCCATTTCTGCCTTCACAGATCAAGTGATCAAAGAACAGTCTGTTGAAGAGTGAGTATTTCGGTAGACCATTTCTTTTCTATGTGCCACCTAGCCCATTTCTTCTGTTCTGTTGTCAAATTGTTTGAGATTAAACAATGGTACTTGAAAATTGTTTTATAAAACAACCGGAGAGATAAAATAACTTGTCTATTCTACATAAACTTGTGTGTATTACATAAGCTGGTATTAGGATTCGTTAATGGTGCTTTGATGTCATTTTATTTTTCACAGAAAACCGAAAGAAGAACTCAAACCTGAAGCGGTAAGTAAAATAATAAAGCTTCGTTTGGTGATTCAATATATTTTTATGTGAAAAAGGCCAATTAGAATGTGTATGGAAAGTCTGGGTCACCCTTTGAAAATCCATCCATATTTGAGGTTGCCGCATGCTGAAATCAATTGCTTTAACTCGCTTGAGTAGGTAGTTTTGGTAAAATCTACTGTGATACAAGATGTCAGAAGAAGGAGTACATGCATATCTTTTTAATTCTCGCAGGTTCATTTGAGGGAAAAATAGAACAGTCGGAATGTGTAAATCATTTAGAACGACCAAGTATTCATTTTGACACCTTGGGAAATTTTTCCGAAAGCCGCAATATGATCGGTCGTAGGTGTCTCGGGGTGCGGCTGGTCATGTCTCCCTCGCACCTCGCCAAATGCTCCCATGCGACCAAGTGTTTCAAATGGCCTTCTCGTGGCGGAGGTGTTTTCCCACCAAAGTGAGAGGTCGAAAATCCAATATCCGGGGCTGTAATTGGATCGACGAAGTACTGGCAGTTCAACCAGGGGAGTTGGCTAAAAACCCTGATTCCTAATCAACCAAAAAGAGGCGTACGAACTACACCCACACACAGTTTCCTGGTTGTGCTAGTGGTCACCGGCTTGATTGCGCATCGAGATGTATTGGGCACCTTCAACCTCGGTGGAAGTGCGTACGATCCGATGAACTGGACACCAGTCCCCAACAAATTGCGGTTTTAACGCACCGCCCCGCTGCCTTACGGTTCAGGCTTTGGTTAACCGAAGGCTCCGGTTGTGAATTCTCCATGAAAATTCACCTTTTTTGGCCTGGGCAACTGGGCAGTATAGCCCCAATAGGAAATCATGTACCTGTTTCTTTTTATAAAAGTTTGTGGACCGTGATTTGTTTGGCACACAGACTGAACTCAAACGTGTGTGAAAAATTAATGAAATGGATATTGGGACATTTTTCGTAAGGGACGTCTACTGAAGGCTGATATTTCAAGCATTTTTCCATCTTTGCATATATATGATTTGTCGCATCGTTCATTGTTAAAGTATTGATAGATATAAACCACGATCATATCAATAAAACACATACCCTACATTTAATGCCGGGCCATGTGCGTTAATCAGATCAGATAATCAATCTAATGTGACTCTGTGACTCTTATTTGGGAAATGGCGAGGTGAATCATCCGTTCACTTTTCGAATCCCCGTAGGAAACAACCAGTTGGCACAAGTATTCAGTATTTCATTTTTTTGTCTATGTTGTTTGTTTATTTCTCATTTACAGGAAGAAAAACCGGAGAAAGAAGAGATTGAACAAGGCAAGTGGTTTTGAATCAAAACAGTGTCTTCATTGATTGTACTAGTTGCATGTATTTTAGTAGTCGTTATGATAAGGAAAATGTTGATTGTGGTGGCTACACAACAATTCCTTATTGGATATCTAGATCCAATGCGCTGCTCTTCTTATTTAATTTTTTTTCTTATTCACAATCTTATGAACGGTTTTGCGCTTTCTCGCCGTATTAAATAGTCAGTGACACAATAAAGAATTGTAATTTTCGACATGACAAAAGGCATGTAATTACTGAAATTTAATGCCTTGGAAGGCATATCCAGTTACGGATGATTAGATTCGGTTATAGCACGCTCATTTAGTCTCGTCATCAGATTCGAATGCAATGATCTATTACTTGCATGGTTACACCTTGATGACTTTGTTCTCATTTTATTGATGCTGTTCTTATTGATAAACTCTGTCAAATGCACGTGAACAGTCACTTACTCACGTGGCCACACATGCCTTACTTACTCATTTCGTGCCACGCACGCTCCGCTGTGCACCCTGGCATTTTCAACTTAGTTTGCATTTTGTCTCATGTGGCTTGCTTTATCGCATTCTTGCATCCTTTTAGCCCCTGCCCCTCCGGTTGCAATCGTGAAAGATTTGGCGGATCAACGATTCGCCTTTCTACCACGAACCATTCGCTTTGAGTTGACTCTGTCTGTCGAGGTAGAAACAGTGATTTGGCTAAAGGATGGCACGGAGTTGACAATGGCAGATGGCCGATGCAAGCTCACTCATGTTGGTCCCACTTATCAGCTCAGTATTGAGAGTGTGACTGAAGCCGATATGGGACAGTATGAGGTGGTTTATGATGTGAAACGTGACAGTCGTACTTCTGCCTGCCTAACGCTTGAACGTGAGTCAATTCGTTGTGAAAAAACTCTTTCAAGCTTCGTAATGTGCGAACTAATCCGACAAATCTTGTCTGTCTGTTTGTCTATCTGTCCATCGTTGTTCCTTCTCATCTAAACTGAGCGCATACAGTGGTAAATTTGCTTGTTTTCGATGTCATGTAGAATGATCTGTTTTATTTCAGTTTTCCAGTATTCACAACTAACCACTCGCCACTTTCGGGTGTTACTTTCCATACGTTGCACGCTCTACGATATATGTATATGTGAAATATCAGTTACCCGATTTATAACACTAAGGCATGATCATTAGCGGGTGATCTGTGTATGAAAAACAAATATAGTTTAGTTTTTGATTCTTGTTACACGACTAACGCGATAAATCTTTTGATTTACGTGTACAGAGGCTCCGGACGCCCCCACTGATGTGAGTGCGGAATTCGTGATTCCTGCTAGCCCGACCGATCGACCACAAGATGTGCACGTCTCGTGGACTGAACCTAAGTCACCGGATGGAAAATCAACAGTGGTAGACTCTTACCTGGTGGAAATGAAACCACAGGAAGGAAGATCCTGGTACCCCGCACCGTGCGATCACACTATCACTAAAACTGAGGTCACTTTATCTACAACTGAGATGAAAGATGATGTAGCCTACGAGTTTCGTGTATACGCTGTGAATCAGTTCGGGAAAAGTCCACCATCTAAACCATCTTCACCAGTTCTAGCAGGTGAGAACATCAACACACCCCTTGCCAGTATTCTTGCTTTTTCATTGTTTATAGTTCCCTGTATTCATTCGGTTGCTATTTGTTTTGCTTTTAGGTGTACCGATTGAATTTATTCGGCCACTGCAAGATGTTACCGTAACAGGGACAGATACTGAGCCTGCTGCAATTCTCGAATGTGAGTTGTCTCGGGCTCCTCGTACCCCAGTGGCTTGGACTAAGGATCGAAAACCGTTGGTTCTTCGAGGACCTGATGCAAGTCGGATTCTTGTAGAGGAAGCCGAATATGGTCGAATCCAACGCCTAATCTTTAAAGATGTCCTCGAGACGGATCTTGCAAGTTACGCTATACAAGCTGAGTCCATATCTTGCAGCAGCGTTTTGGACATGAAAGGTTTGTTCACATCCTCCAATCACAGTTTTTTAATTGTCTAATTGCTCATGCTTCAAAGTCTTATCTATTTTCCATGTTTGGGGTAAAAATTAGTGCATTGTGAGATTGGTGTCAATCCAAATGACGAATTGATTCCGACCCCTCTTATTTTTACCTCCTAGTGCCCCCAACACTGCGGGTTGGCAAGGACTTTGTCACGCGACTGGTAATGAAAGCGGGTACTTCAAATATTATTGAGGTACCGTTTGCCGCCAGCCCTAAGCCCAAGGTTACATGGACTTATGGTGCGATGGGAGACGCCGTACCTTCCGAAAGACCCCGATTTAAAACTGATACAGTATCTGGATTAACATCTATCGCATTGGCCAAAGTCAAACCCGAGGATGCCGGTCTTTACCAGGTCACGATTACAAACGAACTCGGTGAAACCTCCATCACTGTAGAGCTGATCGTACTGGACAAACCATCAGTGCCACGAAATCCGAAAGTTACTGATAACACGGGAGAAAGTGTTGTATTCACATGGACTGAACCCCAGTACCCAGGCGGTGGAGCATCACCACTCGAATATGTGGTAGAGATGCGCGAGCCACCACAACAATCCACAAAACCAGTCACTGTGACAACTGCTTTAAGCACTCCGATTGAGAATCTCAAAACAGACAAAACATATGTCTTCTCAGTGGCAGCTCGGAACGGGATTGGACAATCGGACTTCGTCCATACTCAGCCAATAACGACCAAATTACAATATGGTAAGGGCTTCGAATGACTCAAAAATTCTGCCAGAAACGCAGAAACAATAAACAAAGTGCAGAGAAATGACGGGAGACAGAATTATAAAACATCAGTGGACAAGGACATATATATAACCAAATGATAATTAGCACACTTCCACAATTTCGAAAAAAGGATGAAACAAAACTTTTCCGAACACCCAGCATATAAGATTATAGAACAGATATCAACCACAAATGCAGACAAGGCTTTAACCATAAAACATTCAGAGAGAAATTAGGTAAACGTGACAATCTCATGCAGCAAAGCGGAAGAAAATTACATTCCATATAACTCTAAGCCTAAACAAAACCAGAGGCCAATATTTATGATAATTCATTGAAAACCATTCTAAATAAATAACAAATATGCAGCCTTTTACGCACAGATTAGAATCGAGAGCATTTCAAATACCAAAATAAAAAAAGGAATCTTCAATAAAATCGACTTGAAACATTTATTCGCGATCACGTCGATTTGTTACAGTCTTGTAAACCTATCGTTCAATGTTCATACTATCCCATACAGGACCACCCCAAAGCCCCGTCAACGTGAAAGCCGTGGTCAATCCACAAAAGGCTCCAATCGAACAACAGAGCATTGATCTGACTTGGGAACAACCGACTGACACTGTCTCTGGTGCCGGACCTGTGACCAATTTCTACATTGAAATGAAACCAACAGATTCCACACGCTGGCAAGATGTGTCCGCGGGCATGACGATCACTGAACCACATTGCACACTGCCATCAAATGGGATGAAGGAATTCACCAGCTATGAATTCCGTGTCATCTCGGAGAACAAGGCGGGTAAAAGCAAACCGTCAGGACCGTCCAATCCTGTCGAGCTCGGTGAGTAATTGCTAAATCTCATTCTCTGTTTGTCAAAACGTACGCTTGTCCATAATCAACTCGTATGGCCTCTGTAATTGCAATCTGTTTTAAACGCACACTGATCCATCATACAACACACACACACACACACACACACACACACACGAACTCGAGTATGCAGCCCAGTTTGTGCGAGTTCTGATCAGGAATGACTGACTCCTATTTTGTCGTATTTGCACACATACATACAGGCATGCCACTGGAATTCGTGCGTCCGCTGGAGGACGTGGCTTTGACCGAAGCACCTACGCAACCGGTAGTGATAGAGTGTGAATTGTCTCGCAAGCCAAGAGAGAAAGTGCAATGGCTGAAGGACGGAAAACCATTGGGTCGTTTGCCCGACCGCGTGCGTGTCGAAGAGGATGCGAACGGGACTGTGCACCGAGTGGTCTTCACCTCATTACAAGATGAAGACCTGGGTCAATACACGATCCGTGTGGAGAAACTGAGCGGAGACGCAAGAGTTGATCTACGCGGTGAGTGAGATATTTAATACCACCGAGTACCATCACTTGCCTTTGTCAGTGTATATGGTACGAACATTTATATATATATGTATATATATATATATATACATTTACATATATATATATATATACATATATATATATACATATATATACATATATAAGTATAGATGTAGGTATGTATGTATCTCTATGTATGTATAAAAATTATACACACCCGTCAATTGGCCGATATCTACGACCAATATTTTTGAGTTCGTTAGATTAGCATCTGATCGAGCGAGTAGTGCTAATCTTTATCCTATATCACTTTTTCTCTAACTCGTATTCTCCTAATTCCATCACCTCGTGACATCTCTCTATCCCATTCCATTCCACCTTGGAATTCGCCTCCACGTGTTGGTTGTATTATTCCTCTATGCATGTGCACATATCTCATGCCATGCAGTGTCGCCCACGTTGCGACTGTCGGAGAAGTTCACGGATAAGATTGTGCTCAAAGCCGGAGCATCCAGTGTGATAGAAGTGCCGTTCATGGCAAATCCGAAGCCGACAGTGAAATGGACATGGAAACCGCGTGTTACACCAACCTCAGAGCCTGGGTCGGCACAACAGCCCAGATTCAAGCCGGATGTTGTATCTGGTTTGACCTCGTTGCCTTTGGGTAAGGTGAAGCGAGAGGATGCCGGAGATTATGAGGTGGTGATCAGCAACGAGTTGGGCGAGGCGACTGTGACCGTTCAACTGATTGTGCTAGACAAACCGTCTGTGCCAAGACAATTGGAAGTGAGCGAGAACACCGGGGAACGTGTGCTATTCAGCTGGCGTGAACCGGAATTCACTGGACTACCTGCGGACGTGGAACCCGGGACCGGTCTGACTTATGTGGTCGAGATGCGTGAAGCGACACAACGCGTCGGTAAACCGGTCACGACCACACCCGATTTGAAAACTCCCATTGAGGGATTGCAACTGAACAAATCCTACATATTCAGTGTAGCCGCAAAGAATGATGTTGGTCAATCGGACTTTGTGGACACGCAGCCCGTGTCTACCAAACTCGAATATGGTAAGTATACATACATACATTTCTACTCCCGAAATCTGTCCATTATACTACCAACATGATCTGTCTCACACGCACCGACTCATTCAGTGCTTCTTCTCTCGAATTTGTCGCAATTTGTGCCCCTCTATGGCTGTGTATTTATTTGTCTCAGTTTCATGCTCTCTTGTTCTCTCTCTCTCTCTCGTGCTCGCGCTCGCTGAACGAGAAATCAATCACACCTCGTGATCGATGAAGAAAGATGGAATTAGGGATCAGGCCGAATCTTCTATCGGTACCTGATCTTATCTCCATAAGAATCAATTTTCACTCTTCTCAGTGTTGAGACCAACCGGCTATTGTATAAATTTTTCTGGATGGTCTTCCTTGTTGCTACTGCTGCTGAATCCAGGTGTAGAATTGTATAAGAAACAAATGCATGCTCAGTAGGTGTCAATATCTCCCTCAATCGAGGTAGAACTCTACCGAGAAGTTGTGCATCAGAGAGTCAATCACTGTCCCGTAAGTTCCGGCATTTTCAACGAAAATCATGGACGAGCGCTATATCATGTATGTAGTGTTCATATGTGGCTGGCTAGTAAAATCCAGCTTGGATAGCCCAAGTGGCTGGACTAACAGCCTCTCGCGCCCAGGTCGAAATCCTGGTAGATTCAGTGAATGTGCACTGTTGATCATTCTTAACAAGAACAAAGCGACTGTGGGGAATGATACATCGACTCCAAATTATCAATACCTTTCCATGATAAAGTGATATCAGACATTTCGGCTCTCTCGACTTTTCTCTCTCGCTCCCACTCTTTCACTCTCTCTCTCTCTCTCTCTCTCT